TATATTTTATTGATTTTTTACAGAGAGGAAGGGAAAGAGATAGAGAGCCAGAAACGTCGATGAGAGAGAAACATCAACCAGTTGCCTCTTGCACACCCCCTACAGGGTACAGTCTATGCCCGCAATCAATATACGTACATGCCCTTGACCGGAATCGAACCTGGGACCTTTCAGTCCGCATACTGATGCTCTACCACTGAGCCAAACCGGTTTCGGCTATAGTTTAAGTTTAAAAAATTTGGTTCTCAAAAGAAATTTTAATCATTGTACTGTTGATATTCGGCTCTGTTGACTATTGAGTTTGCTGACCACTGTCATTATCCATTCAGTAAAAGACTTTTAGTAATCATGTTCTGATTCCTCTGTAACAGTGTTCTAGTGCCCACTTTTAGCTTCCTAGTCTACACTGTTGTAGGGTTGTCTCTCATAGTCTAAGAAGATAAGACGTCCACAGATAGTTAAAATAAATGTAGTTAAATTCCTAAAACCTAGCATAAAGTTTTCATTTGTTGGTTAGCAAATACTTACTGAGTAGGGACTGTGCTATTTAATATTAGATTGGAGATGTCATGGAGCTAATTGGGTATTTGAATCTATCTTTGAAGAAAAGTTTGGGCCGAAACTGGTTTGGCTCAGTGGATAGAGCGTCTACCTGCAGACTGAAAGGTCCCGGGTTCGATTCCGGTCAAGGGCATGTACCTTGGTTGCGAGCACATCCCCAGTATGGGGTGTGCAAGAGGCAGCTGATCAATAATTCTCTCTCATCAATGTTTCTAACTCTCTATCCCTCTCTCTTTCTCTCTGTAAAAAATCAATAAAATGTATATTTTAAAAAAAGAAAAAAGAAAGGAAAGTTTGGGGCTAGAGATAAAAATTCAGAATTGGTAACTGACTCCCATAAAGTATTTAAAAGCACAGAAATAAATGTGAATGTCTGTGCAGAGAAAACTGTGTCTAGACATTGCAACATTACAGAGTAGAAATAATCAGCTATGACAATTGAGTATGAGTGGCCAGATCAATTGTGTCAAATGCTGCTGAGACGCCAAGTAAGATGAAAATAAGTGAGAAGGAGAAAATGACAGCATGGAGGATTTGGCTGACCTTTATCACTTCAAAGGAGTAACTATAACAGGTTGTAGAGAGAATGATGAATAAACAGATTTAATGACTAGAAACAATAACTGTATATTTTTCTGGAAAAGAGAACAGATAATTAGAGCAGTTGCCACAAAGGAATACAAGAAATTTTGTTTTAAGATGCCTAAAAAATCCCCTACATCTTTGTAAGTTAATTGGAATAATCCAATCTGAAATAAAATTGATGATGTGAATATGACACCGTATACTGCAGCAAAAATAAGATTTTCAGATCAGATTTCAATTTACTCTCTTTGCTTCACCACAGAGAATAATATATATGTATACATTTAAACATGTGCATATCTTTTTTTTTTTCATTAAAATCTTGTTGACTTAAAACTTGTTGAAATAAACAGCTCGTGTTTTTTTTTAATGTTGTAACCTGAACTGTGAACATCATAAGAAAATTAAATAACTATGAATACAAATAATATTTAAGAAAATTTTTGTAAGACTTCAGAAGCATGTATTACCTATAAATTTACATTTTAAAGCCACTGTTTAAGTTTCTTTAGAGAAGAGTAAAATCACTCCACAATTTTTATAAACTCGTAGTCATTTTGTGAAGTTTATCTATTTGATGAAAGGCTGATATCATTCATTAATTAAGGCAGCAAGCAAACCAGGGAAAAGTCAGAATGAACAAAACAGAATAAAAATAACAAAGAATGAAGATGGATTGTGTTAATGTTCGAGAAATTGGTTTTCCCTTATTCATTTGTAAGAGTTAAGATGTACCCATCAGTGGATTATTGGATAAAACAGCTATGGTACATTTACATAATAGAATACTACTTGGCTATAAAAAGGAAGAAAATTTTACCCTTTGTGACAGTATCAATGGACCCAGAGAACATTATGCTAACTGAAATAAGCCAGTCAGATAAAGACAAATACCATATGATTTTACATATGTGGGGTTTAATAAATAAAAGAAACTAACAAAATAGAGTCACAGAACAGACTGACAATTGTCATAGAGGAGGGGGGTTGCAGAACTGGTTGAAATGGTGAAGGAATTAAGAGAGAAAAAAATACACACACACATACAAAAAAAAACCTCTCATAAATGTAGACAACTCATTGTGTTTATCACTGTTGTCATTCTGTACCAAAATTTACATATTTATTACATTGTTCAGTACCAAATTACCATAATTTATATATAATAATAATATGTTCATTTGTAAATAATACAAAATATCAGAGTAGATTTTCTCTTGTAAACTTCATAAACACACATAATGATCCTAATAATAATAAACATGAAATGGAAATTCTGAGAAATGGCTGAACTGAGATCTGCCTGAATCAAGCTGGTCAGTTGCTTCATGAGATAAGAATATTACTGAATCTAAATTTATTCTTTGTCTCTAATCAATCTTTTAATATGTTTCCTTTGTTTTTGAATTTTCTGTCTTTATTTTAACTGGAGAAATTTTCCATGCATTTGCTGAATAGAAACTCATAGCTGTAAATTTATTTATAGGTTATTTAATTTAATTTTACCCTGAAAGCATGTATTCTTTCTCTTTTTTCCTCTGTCTCTCCCTCATCTTAAATATTTCTAAATTTTTGTCTTTTTTACTCTTGCTTCTGTCAGTTCTTTTATATGTTTTGTTGAACAATATCATAAGCTACTCACAACTGGTCTTCCAAATATTGTTTCCTTGCTCTCCTGAAACTTATTTTTAGCTTTATAAAAGTGATATTACAGAAACAAAAGCCCAATTATTTTCTTGTCTCCTTTAATACATCTTTTGCAAAATAAACCCTTACTTCACTAGAAAAATGCAGACTCTAACTCCTTTAAATAATGTGGGCACTTTAAAATACAATACTGTGTTTTGTTATAACAATTTAACATTATATAATTATTAAAATTCATATTATAATATATAACAATTACATGTATAACATAATTACACAACTAGAGTGTATCAATATATCAACAAATCACTTAAATATTGCAAAATATATATATTAAGTATTGTAAGATTTAAAGACAAAACCTTATTTAATGATTCCAGGATCAAGGCAAAAATCTTCCCTGATTATCATAATGACTTTTCTTAAGGGCCTTAACATGTTTTGCAACTTTGAAAGTTTGTGTACAATGCTGAAAAATCCTAGATTCTACTAAATTCTCTTTTAATACTGGTTGGACATTGCTGTAAATATGAAGCCAAATAAATACTGAACTCATTCTCCAGCAGTGGAAAAATCACACATTGGTTTCATAGACAGGGTGTGGCAAAAGTAAGTCCACAGTTGTTCAAATGGAAAATAATGCAATAACCAATAAATAAGAATAATAAACATAAACTCTGTGTTTTGCATACTCACAACTGTAAACCCACTCTTCTCCCTCCCTATATAGAGAAAAATCTGAGCTCTACTACTTGGTAGAAAGAAAGCTATCATCCTATCATCCTGATTCTCATTTAGTTTATTTGTCAAGTGGTAATAATAATATTCAATACAGAAAGATATTATAGAAATTAAATGAGATAAAACATACACTTTATATTTTTGTAACTAATAAAAGAAATGTGCATGTTAGTTCCTATACCCCTGCTCTTCTTTCTTTTCCAGCATTTAATGGGGACCTTCAGAACTGCTGTTTTCAGGACATTTTTATGAGCTTCCAATTTAGAGAGCAAACAGGTAACCAACATGAACTCACAGAAGACATGCCTCTGTGTATGCTCCTATCTGGCTAGCCAGGTTTGCAGAAAAACTGCATTTTCTAATAAGTCTATGACCCTTGAAAGACCTCTTTAAAACTGTTTCCCCCTCTGTACAACATAATTAATATTAATATTACAACTGTGTTCTTAAGATTAGAAATATTGTATGGAAAATACCTATATGACATGCAATTCATAAGTATTAATTATGGAAGCAATAGTTCCACCTATAACCAAGGGCATTTTATGAAAAGAAAATGTGTTTTACTCTTTCTTCCGGTACATTGTTGTCTGAAAGTATATATAAAGTTATGTTTGTAATGACCCCATTTGAGAGATGAAGAATGAAGAATTGACTATATGCTATGCTTGTGTTTTTTGGAAATTATATAAGATTTACCTTAAAAGCCTTTTATTAGTTACACACAAAGAAATATTTTATTTTATAAAATAAATAAATATATTTTACCAAGCAAGATACAGCAGCTGAACCAATAAGAATAAAAAACGCATGTGTAATGTATAGTCTTAGAACAAATAAGCCAGTAAGATGTTCATGTTGTTCTGATGTAATAGTTTAGATGAGATGGACAGGTAGGAGCATGTCCCATTTTTATGACAAAATATTGGGGGTGGGGGTGGTATAAAGGAAAGGCATTTCATGAAAAGATGAAGCCCTGGTTATATTCTTGTCCTCCTCTGGGGTGTGTCCTACTATTTAGTAGAATTTTTGAGCCCCAGTTTAACATCTAGCTTCCCACATTTCAACAGACACCTATTATTACATCATCTGTGGGACTTAGAGCCATGGCCCATCAGTCTTCCACCATCAAATCTACTTTTAAAAAAGCATTTGATTAAAACTAAAAACAAAAATGTGAATAAATAATGGTAGGGAGAGTCATAATACTTAGTTTGGCAAATGTGCCTTCAAGTGTGTGTGTGTGTGTGTGTGTGTGTATGTGTCTGTGTATGTATATCATGTATACATACTCATTAATCATTATTATTATCCCAAATACGATATATATATATATATATATATATATATATATATATGTAACTTTAAAGTGATTTTAACAGTTCAATGTTAATATTATTTTTCATGTTATATTGAAATTAAGATTTTTCAGTAAACTGTACCTATTAAAACAGCATCACACTTACCTGTGGTGGAAGCAGTGGCAGTCTTATAAAGGCAAGAAGCATACTCAAGTCATTGCATCTTCTCTGCATGTCATACTTCACCCACATCATTAGTGCATGGAAGATAGTTTCTTCATCAGGAACATTTACATCATCACTGGCCAGAAGTTTATGGAGCTCCTCAGCTGGAAGCAGTAAAAACTCTTGATTTCTTATAACTTCCATTATGTTTTCCTGCAGAGAGAAAACATCTTGGCATAAATTTGGTTTCACTTTTATTTAGCTAGCAAAGCATTTCAGAAAGGAATGAGAAAAGTAGTCAATAACCTTTGTTCTCATTATAACATAATCCTTGAGAATTAATCCTTCAGAAACTAGAGGCTGTTAAGATGAAAGCATTGTTATTGTAATTGAAGTGTAAATGTAACCAAGACAGCACAGACCTTGTAATAACAGGGGGATTATAATGTGGAGCTTTGTTATGCAGGCAGAATACACTAAGTGATTAAATGTTTAAGTTTCAAGTGGACTGCTATGTGAGATTCAGTGAAAAGAGTAGCATTTCAAAAATGTTAAAGCTTGACAACTTATACATGGATCAGAAAGTGGGAATAAAATTAGAGAGTAAAGTAACACATACAATACATCCCTGTATATTCAGAAGGAAATAAAACAGCACAGATAGTTCATAGAAGTCACAAAATCTCATATATTCTGTGCCCCCATGCCAGCACAGCCAAGGGTAAACCTGAGGAGAGGCTGTGAAGGAGTAAATAAAAGACAGACAAGAGAATACAGATGGGGCTCTGTGGACCTCCCAGGCCTGGATGAGAACACAAAAGACCCAGCCTGCAAGTGGATGCTTCATTTTATAGTCCGATTAAAACAAGGGTAGATTAAGATGTATGCAAATGTTCTTATTTTGGCAACATTTGCTGTACCTTCCACAGCCCATTAGCTACTTAGGAAGGAATTAGGGAGGGCTACAAGGTCAGGCTTAACAATGCTAGGAGAGCTCTGCCCTCCAGGCTGGGACTTGTTTGTGGCCCTGTCTCAGGTCAGCCTGAGGCTTGACCCTAGAGCCACTCCCTACAACATGCCACCCTTTTATCATCTTTTGTATTTCCTTCTTTTCCTGACAATTTCTCTAGCTTAATTCAGATTCCTGTTAATTTTCTTCCGGATTGCTGCAATCACCTTCTAATTATTGTGCTGGACTCTATTCTTAGCTTCCTTCTCTATTGTATCCTCCACAATAATACTAAAGTAATATTTCTAAAATATAAATTTTCTCATGACATTCCTCTAAAGTTTTTGTGTAGTTTAGTTTCATCTGTTGTGCTCTTTGGTTCAAATCTCTTGGGTAGCAACAGTGGTTCCTGATGGCCTCACCTCATCCTAACCCCAAGACATCATTTTCTACTGTATCTGCATTTCAGTCACAAAAATTATACTGATTCCCTTTGCTATCCTGTTTGACATACCTTCCTCACTCAATCTGTTGCTTAAAATTATTTTGTCAGCCTTGTTTTTTAGTTTCTATCTTTAAAAAAAAATATATTTTATTGATTTTACACAGAAAGAAATTGAGAAGGATAGAGATAGAAATATCAATGGGAGAGAAACATCGACCAGTTGCCTCTTGCACACCCCTCACTGGGGATGTGCCCGCAACTAAGATACGTACCCTTGACCGGAATAGAACCCGGGACCTTACAGTCAGCAGGCCGATGCTCTATCCACTGAACCAAACCGGTTTTGGCAGTTTCTGTCTTTTTTTTTAAAGGCATAATTGAAAAGCTACATACAGTATTATCTATGGGCTTGTTGAGCCCTCTGCTCACTCCCCTTTCTTCTGACCAACTGTCCACTATATGCACATACAGTGCATGGTATTCATATCTCTAAGACAACAGTTAGCCAATTGCAGCCTTGTTTTTGGTGCTCTTGGGGGACTTAACACAAACGATAAGCTCCTGGAGACAAAAGCCCTGCAACGTAACAGATGAGCGATACATAGTTATTGAATAGATGTATTTATCATTTTTGCAGAGAAAAATAAAATATTGGAAATATTGGATAGTTCAGAACAGTGCAGTGTTTTTCAAACACTTTGTAAAAACTACTTGTCAAAAAATCTGTCTTACATTGAGCAGAGAGACCTCTGTGGCTGAGATACTGATACAGAAAACAAAGGCCTGACTGGCCTTCTCTTTTATCCTCCTCTCCGCCTCTCCGCCTCTCCGTCTCCTGAGATATATCTCCAAGTAAGCTAGAACTAAGGCTTCTCGGTTTAAAAGCCACATTTATCATAAAAATCTCAATAGGATGCTTATTTTGGAAAACAAACACACCTTGAAATGGAGGGATTAGATCTCTTCCAATAAAGTCGTTGTGGCTGCTCCAAAACAGTAGAAGACTCAGCAAGTGCTCAGTAATCTGTAGGTCAGGGCAGATTCAAACCTATTTTCTTAAGTGAGTCCTGACCCATGTCATGAGCGTATCCCTGACATTGAATCCCAGGCTTGATGGGCCTTCAGTTTTCACAAGAAGATGTCAACTTTTAATTTTTTCAGGTCATCTGTCATATTTATTTACTTTTTATTGACATCACAGAATAGCTGATTTCCTGGGCATTGTTTTGTCTCCTGTGTTTCCTCTGTGGTTAATACAGTGTTACCTGATTATAGATGCCTGATACTATTTACTGAGTAAACCACGATTTATAGATGCCTGATACTTATTTACTGAGCGAACCAAGTAAGTGTCTGAGACTTAGAGCCACCAAATTTCTCTAAAGAGCTACAGTAAGGTAAAGATGTTTTTGATGAATGTTTGATAGATGTTTCTGACCATCTATTTTCGCAGTTATTTAAAAACCCATGCCTCTATGAAACTACACACATAATTGTACAGCTGGACCATTAGTACATAGTGAGGGATATAAAAAAGCAGCTCTGTGGAACTCAGTGGTGTCTATCATAAAGATATTGTGATATCATCAAGGCATATTTCATTATATTTTACAGTGTCCTTTTTATAATGGCCCTTAGGAGAAATTTCTTTCAGGTTTTAGTAGCAGGAATACTTTCACTTCTCTTGAGTAAATTGGTTTGCTCTTATCATGGGTCTTGTAAATTATGAAATTGATCAAATTTCTTTTTTTATTTGCCCTCTGGAAAACTGAGTCCAACTGGGATGTATCTGATAGGAAGGCTATGGCCTTTTATAGTTTGATTTCTTTTTCAGACAGCTCTGGAAATGGTTTTGTTTTATAATACAACAGAATATTTTCTTTTTCTTCTATTCTTATATCTAATTTAGAGAGATTTCTATAATTTTATACCTTTGTGAGTCACAGTAAATCTTTTAAAAACAAGTAATGTTTGTAAAAACTGCTAGGAATAAACTGGAAATGAGGAGCTACAATCATATTACTGGATCTCACACTTGTTATATTAAGTTATCACTTAAATTTCTTTAGTTCCAGAGTTCTCTTTATTTTTCCCCATCAATTATCATTTTAATGAAAACATGCCTGATATTTTATTTATTTATTTATTTATTTACTTACTTATTTACTTATTTATTTATTTTTAATAATCTAGCTCTGGAAATTGTCTCAGTTTCATTACATTTTATTCACTTAAGAAGAAAAAAAAAATATCAACGCACACTGATATCCACTGCTGGAGCATCTTGCCTACCTCTATGTTTTCTGAGAAAAAGTAACAAGAGGCTTCAAAACTCTCTGGCTTGTTTACCTTTCGTGTAGAATGGATACAGCGTTTGGACAGGTCCAAGCCTTTGGCTAATGAGAGGGCACAGTCCTCAAGTGGCAAGGTCACATGCCTATAGAACTATAAGAGAATCAATTTCTGTTGTTTTAAGCTACCAAGTTTTTGGTACTTTGTCATAGCAACCCTAGGAAAATAATACATAAGAAAATTGAAAAAATAGGTATGTTAAAACTATTGCATAAACCTAATTTTTTCCAATATTTTAAATGATAATTTATAGGCTCTTTATTTTATATAATGACACCTTTTAGAAATATTATATTTCTCATGACCCAAAAGAGTGTCGGGTACAGGAAAAAGTGTTGGTCTACTCTCAGGATCAGATTCTCTTTGATTTATATTTTTTCCTACTGCCTCTAGAATTTAAACATTCTAAAAAGGCAGGGTGGGGAAAGGCACCATTCCCAGTCATCAAGGGCGTCTTGTTACAGGTAACTTCAAGTTGCTACACTAACAAGACTCTAACCTTTTTAGGTTAAAACCAATTTTCCTGAGCTTTTGATTATTTATTTGCCTTGCCTAAATTTTTAATCCCTATGTCAAAATTGCTGCCTGATCTTTTGAGCACCACCTTGGAGTTCAAAGGGACCAAAGACTTATTGCGATTCACACCTTGTTATTTTACCTATGAGAAGGCTGAGGCTCAGTGGGCTGCTAATCAGGATAAAAGTAGAAATAGGAATACAGTCTCATGTCCTATTACAATTACTGCTTTATCTAGCCTTTGGTTTACTTCCCCTTCTGGTTCTCTGCCCATCTAGTTTGGACTTACTCTCTCTGATTCCTGAAACATGTACGCACCCTAATTCTTAAGTGCTCACCTGGACCTATTTCCGCCTCTTTCTTGGTATAGCTTGGTTCCATAATCTGGCTTCATAATTATGTATTATCAATCTCTATTAATAAAAGCCTAGGTGGTCCTCTTGCCCTTGTGTGATGTCCTCACATCATCACAAGATGTCTACCACAAGATGGCCATCACTAGATAGCTGTCACAAGATGACCAGCAGGGGAGGGCAGTTGTGGGAGATAGGCTGGCAGGGAGGGCAGTTGGGGGCAACCAGCCTGCAGGTAGAAGGCATTTGGGGGAGACCAGGCCTGCAGGAGAGGGTAGTTGGGGGTGAACAGGCCAGTAGGGGAGGGCAGTTGGGGGTGATCAGGCCAGCAGGGGAGCAGTTAGGGGATGATCAGGCTGGCAGGCAGGTGAGCAGTTAGGAACCAGCAGTCCAGGATGGTGAGAGGATGTCTGACTGCCGGTTTAGGCCCAATCCTACAGGGGTCCCAGATTGGAAAGGGTGTAGGTCAGGCTGAGGGACATCTCCCCTTCCCCCATGCATGAATTTCATGTACCAGGCCTCTGGTAGACTATAATTGGCATGGGGAGTTGGCCAGGATTTAGATCCCAACCCTGCTACCCAATGGCTGTATCAGCTT